ATGCGTGTTGTAATAATAATCATAACGTGTTCATGCCGAAAAACTACCCGCGTGTACATCGTAGCCAAACGTACGCAACCGTAAGATTATCGAGTGGAAGAATGTCGAAAATGTGTTGGACGAGAGCGTGAGAATGCCGATAACCGGCAACCGTATTGTAACCATATTATAACGAAACGTGCACGCGCGAACTGCTTTCGACGAATTTCTAAAACCGTAGCCCGATCGCATAACGTTTCCGAACGCAACGCAACGTTTCGAGGAGATGATTACAGCGGTAGAAAAAAAAAAATAGAAAACCTAATAAAATCACGCTTGCACGAATACACCGTGTACCTGCGCCTGCAACTGTATTTTCATTGAAAACTTCAAAACCATGTCCACTCGCACTTACGGATTGGTGTGTGTTCGTTTATCGTTTCCCCTGGAGCAACATTATCGGCATATTAATATCGAACAACTAAGTACAAAGTGCACGATATGTAGCTGAATACATTGAGTTAGGCGCATTTCATGAGTTAGTTGCGAACCTAATGAGCTGAATAAATTCAACTGCTCTGCACGGTCAGCAGCTAGTGGGGGTACGTTTTATCATTGTCGGCCGAATTTCAGACGAATATAACCAGAGTTCACTTAGGTATCTCTATGAATAACGATCCTATTGTTGCCATCCGGTGATCAGTGTTGAAACTTAATTAATCATCTAAATAAAAATATTAACTGTCTATTATTTTATCTAGTTATAAATATAAACGTTATCTATTTATTAGATGAACGCTTTAGTTATCTTCCGATTGTTTATCTAGATATTTTTTTTTTTTTTACGTGTACGAGGTGTGTTCAATAAATACCCAGACTAAAACTATTGTAGAAAAACAGTTAATGTTATCGATAATGTTGTTTCACTAAAATAAACTAGTGATAATGACCATTATTTCAGTATATAATAATAATTATAATCTCAAATCAGTCATCGACATTACGCGTTCAAAGTTGGTCGTTTTGTATAAAATCGCGATTTTACAATGGATAATAGAATGGGAGTTTTAGTCTGATAGATGGTTGGTGTGGACTTAAGTGGGAGTAGTGATATTATATGACTGTCGTATGATATCACTACTCCCGCTTAAGTCCACACCAACCATCTATCAGCCTAAAACTCCCACCCTATGCACCTTACACTTAAATTAATTTACCACTTACTCGAATAAAACACTAACGCATACCAAATAGAATTATCAAATGGAAAATAATTAAAAATTAAAGAATTTTACTTAAAATTGCTATTTAAGGTTCATCTTTATAATACTAAAACAAGAAAAGTGATAAAATTCTTGGACATCTGAAGTCAAATAATTATTTATTATTAAAGGGCGGATGTTCATGCATTTGCATATTTTTTCCTTTAATAATAAAAGTTGCAGAGTAGGATAAAAATTCGTTTTTTGACATATAGAAAACGAAAGCAAAATTTTTATGTTGCATATATTTGCATATTTCCATCCATTTTTCTTTCAAAGCATACTTATATTTTATTAGCGCATAATAATGCATATTTGGTATCTTAAGGTTTTACTTGACATTTAACATTAAATTATTGTCTATATCAATTACTATTTTAGAAATTTTATCTTTATTGATAAATATTATCGATTGGAAGTACCTGATAGGCCAATTAGTAATGGCTAATAGGTACATATGAGTACTCTAAATTAACGTGACAGTTTATCGTTGTCCGTAGACCGATTCACGATTTTTGTGAGTGCTTCGTTTCGCGTCGCTTTATGCCTGTATAGTGCGTGGAGTTAGTGTTCGTATTTTATAAGCATCTGTCAAATTTTTTTTTAAAATGCCAAAACAAAAAAGTTCATTAGTTGCGCGAATGCGATAATTTGTTTCTGAATTCGGTGAACAAGTTTTTTCAACCGATAGAAAGATTTTGTTTTGTAAACCATGTGGGATAAAAATCGATTGCGAAAAACGATTTTCTGTAGTGCAACATGTTAGTACATTTAAACACAACCCGTTTTGTAAAACGACATTCTGATAAAAAAGAACTATCACAAAAGTTAATCACTTAGTCTTCACCAACTACCAAAAAATCGACATTTAATTTTAATTTATGTAAAGCATTATTGTCGGCTAATATACCATTAAAAAAAATTAATTATAATGTTGAATTTAAATCATTTTTGGAGAAGTATACCGATGAAGTAATTCCTGACGAATCTACTTTTTTGCTTTGAAGAAACTCTAACAAAAATAGAATCAACGTTTCAAGACAAAAAAATATGGATATCCATAGACGAAACAACGGACATTGAAGGTCGCTACATTGCAAATGTGATTATCGGATCATTAGATGTGGACAAGCCTGGTCAAATAGCTTTATTGAATTGTGAAGTATTAGATAAGGCCAATTATTTTACTATTTCGAAATTATTTGATAAAACTCTTCATCTTTTGTGGCCCGATGGCATAAAACATGAAAATGTGTTACTCTTTGTTAGCGACGCTGCGCCAAATATGGTTAAAGCGGGTGGTGCTATAAAAGCGTTTTATGATAAGATGATATATGTTACTTGTTTGGCACATGCCCTTCACCGTGTAGCAGAAGAAGTAAAGCGTCTTTTTCCAAGTGTTGATAAGCTAATATCTAGTATAAAAAAAGTATTTTTAAAATGTCCTAGTCGAATCGAAATATTTAGAAAAGTATTGCCAAATATAAATTTACCTCCAAAACCAATTATCACCCGTTGGGGGACTTGGATAAATGCTGCAATATATTACTGCGAAAACATACAAAACATTCGCAATGTTATTGAACAGTTTGATACAGATGATGTAGTCTCTATACTTCAAGCAAAAGAAGTTTTGTCAGAAAAATCACTAGATTCAAGTTTAATTTATATAATTTTAAGCTATTGGCCACTGCAATTGAAATTCTGGAAAAATCGGGTATGACTTTATTTGATGCAATTAATATAGTAAAAAATGTAGAACAGAGGCTTAAAAATAATCAAAACGATAAAGGAATTGCCGTGTTTAAAAAATTTCAAAAAGTTATACAAAACAATAAAGGATTTGGTATACTGTGTACGATTTCAAACATTTTAAATGGTGAAGATAACACCATCAAGACAGAAGAAAACTTAACGCCTGATGATTTAACTTGTTTTAAATACGCACCTATCACATCGGTAGATGTCGAGCGAAGTTTTTCCAAATATAAACATTTTTTGACAGACAGACGACGTTCTATGCACTTTGAAAATATTTCAAAAACAATAATTATTCAGTGTAAAACACATTTAAAGTAAAATGAAATATATTTTATATTAGCAAAAGAAATTAAAACAATAATTTAATTTTTCAAATTAAATCAACAATGAAACATAATACAAATACATCAATTTTTATTCAAATTATTCATCCATTTTATATTTATTTTAAATTTTTTACCGTTTTAACAAATTTAATATTATATACTATTTCATAGCAGATTAAATGTTTTTGAACATATTTTTACACATTTTTTAGGAATATAATTATATTTTTGAGCATATTTTGTACATTTTTTAAGCATATAATGACGTATTATCAAGCATATTTTAAAAATTTTTATAGCATATATTAAGGTTTTTTGGAGCATGAACATCCACCCTTTATTTATTATCTAAGACATATAAATAAGCATAAAATTAAAATGTAAAGTATCCAGTAGGTATTGAAAAAATTGAAAATTAAATAAAAGACAATTATTGATTTGAACTATTTCTAAAAATTATTTACATTACAGAGAACACTTTATAATTTATTACTTTTAAAATATATCATTTAAAAAATAAATCAAAAAATTAAAAATTAAAGAAGCCTAAATTGAATTGAAATTATTATACTTAAAATGGTTATTCAAATTTAAACCATTTAATACTGAAAAATCAAATAAAAAGCTGTTTACTTGTACATAGAAGCCGGAGGTAATTTAATTTAGGATGGAATCATAAAAATTATTTAATAAAAGAACATAAAAAATTATAATTGAAATTATTATATTTGTAGTTGTTATTAAAAATTAAAATGATTAATTATTTAGGAAACAATAGGAAAGGATCTTCAGGTTTAGGACGAACATTTAATGTAGATTAATCAAAAAAAAAAAAAAACTTCAATTAAAATCTACTTATATGAATATAAGTAGGGTGAAAAGGAGAGTTCTAGGCCAGCCGCCAGCCGCCAGCCGCCCATCCGCCGCCGCCGCCGCCGGTCCAGCCGCCATAAATTTTTTTTTTATCACAGCCGCCCG